TCACATTAATATTGGACTTCATCTGTACATTGGGCTATTTGACTTGGAAAATGGTTTACAATCAGAGTCTGTTTATAATATCAGTTTTACTGTTTTTACTCACTCAAGTGTTACATAGTGTGAATGTTTGTTCACTGATGCCAGACGTATTCGTTTGTTATGAATGGTCTTATCTTTTGGTCTGTGTCCATGAAGTTCCAAATAAAAAGTGACAAATCACATAAATTTCACTGGATTATCTTCAAATTGTCAGCACCATATGATTGTTTCAAATATAAACCATTTCTAATTTAATTTCCAGGAATAATAACTATAATGTAATATACATGTTCCCACGATAAATGTATTATTGCTACAAATTTATGAATCATTCTGAGAAGGAATTAAAATCTATTCTAATGACAGACATCTGCCTCTAATTTTTATTATATATACCCCATATACACTATCATTTAAAGGTTTGGGGTCAGAAAGTCAGTGAATCAGCATATTAGAATGATTTCTGAAGGATCATTTGATACTTAAGACTGGAGTAATGGCTGCTGAAAATTCAGCTTTGCCATCACAGCAAAAAAAATGAATTTTTAAATATATCAAATACACAGTTAATTATAATTGTTATAATATTTCACAATATTACTGTTACCGTGTTCATTTGTAATCAAATGAATGCAGTCTTGGTGAGTTTAAGAGACTTATTTAAAAAATAAAATTGTAGTTTATATTATATCCATATGAACAATTTCTGCTTTTCTGATCATTAGGATGCATAAATAAATAAATGAATACAAGAACACATTGTTCACTTAATTTTAATCACTTAACTTTGGGACCAAAATCAACATGACCGTTCAGGATGTCCTATACATCTTGACAACGGAACTCTTACCTCAGCAGACTGCCTTGGCTTCAACCTCAAAGCTAAAGCAGCGTCCTGTTTTCAGATTTTTTTCGGTTGTTCTCACTCACTCAAGGGCAAAAGCACAAAAAGGGAGAAAGACCATGTTTTCAAACAAGTCCAAGTCATTCCAAACAATCTTATGGCCCTAGTCTAGACAAAGAATCTCTTCCAGATGTATGTTCAAATGAACTAAACCTTTCCAGGCTTACTGTAGTCGGGATATACCTGAAATGACTCAACAATTACCACTAACACTACAGCGTAAAGTACATAGTGTGTTCTCAGCACTGCCACAATAGGCAGTATAGTGGATACTAGCATAAATGGTCTTTATGGTGGACCAACACTGTGAAAAACGCACATACAATTAACAGGACGGCATGTTTGCAAAGCACAAAGAAACTGATGGGGATGTTGTGAAGCTAAATCTCCAAATTAAGTAAACCAAAATGCATAGCACACAGAAATACTGGGTGATAATATACTGCATTTTTAAATTACTCTATTTTCTATCAATACACATCAAAACTGAAGAAAATATTCACAAATGACAATTCAATTCAGCTTCATCTGCCAATTTGGATGAAGATTTCCACTTGAGCTTGTTGCAGTGCATTCTGGAATAAACTTGGGAGGGAAAGAGAACGAAAGAATGAATAAAGCAAGAACGAAAGAAAGAATGAAAGAAAAAATGACTAAATGAACGAAAGAAAAAAAACACATGATTGAAAGAATGAAAAAGAGTGAAAGTACAAACTAAAGAATAAAGAAAAAACGAATAAGCAAGAATGAAGTAAAGAAAAGAATGAACAAGCTAACAAACGATACAATGAAAGAGAACGAAAGGAACAAACAAACAAAACAAAAGAACAAAAGAATGCACAAACAAAACAACGAAAGAACAAACAAACAAATCAAAATAATGAGCAAACGAAACAATGAAAGAACGAACAAAAACAACAAAAGATAACAAAACAATGAACAACTAAATAAATTAAAAAAGAATGAAAGAAAAAAAAAGAAACAATGAAAGAAGAAGGAACAAACAAACAACAAAAGAACAAAAAAGAAAGAAAGAGTGAAAAAGAACGAACGAAAGAAATGTAGGACTCTATGATTTCCACAATGCGGAAAAAGTGGGCAGAATTGCGGAATCAGGTCATAAAAATGGACTTTACTGTAGGCCTATAACATGGAATGTCACGGAATTTACCAATTTTTGGATGAATAAATCAAAAGTAGGTCAGTACATGAAAATGCAATATGGACTTATGTCTGTGAATATTAAAATGCAAAAATACTATTTAAATATGAATCCTGCATGTTCTGCGTGTCTCTGTGTGAATGAATGGCGCAGATGTGCAGTTTCATTTACTACAATTAACAAACTCCATAGCTGCTCTTCACAGCAACCCGTCAAAAGAAAAGTTTGGTTTAACTTGAAGAACTGTGACAGAAATATATTACTTAATGTAATGATAGTACTACTACTACTACTAATAAAATTATTATTAAAACATCATTTAAGGAATATTTGCCAGAAAAAAAATATTTACCAGAATTTACCAGAAAAATGTAAATACACAACACAGTATTTCTGAAGAAAATAATAATAATAATAATAATAATAATAATAATAATAATTTTTTTATAAAATCAATTAATTAGAGATGCTTTTGATTGATTACTAAAATTGAATGAAACCATTTAAATGGAACCCAGAAACTAATGGAAAGCACAGAATTCGGTTATAAAAATAAAAAAAACTGAATTTGAGAAAAAAAAAGTAACATTTCATAGGGCCTTAAAATTATTATTATTTTTTTTAATGTAGCTTTTAATAAATTGCCATTAAATTGTGTAAGTTTCATGATTTCAATTAATCAGACATGCTTTTTGATTAATACAATTAAATTTTCCATTAAAACGGAAAAAATTAAAATGGAAAAAATGTAGTAATATAGTAGTCTAGAAATGTAGTAGTCTATAGCAGCTGATGAAATTGGACAAAGGAGTGATGGATAGACTGTCCTCAGGGTGTTGACAACAACAAAATGATCATATTCACATGAAAAGACAGAAATAGAGCCAGGGCAGCACATACAGGACATCACAAGATGTCACCCCACCCGTGATGAGGTCACTCCCAGTGAAAAACTGGAAACACAGGGCCATCCCACAATGACACTTCACTTCTCAAAGCTACAGGAACGCTTCAGGGAGAGGACGTACAAAACATGATCTCTCTAATGTGCTTGTGCATGCCAACAAGCATAAATAGTTATTTTTTTTCCTTTGGAAAGGGAGCTTAAGGCAAGGCATTGTGGGAAAGGACAGAGGATAGGAAAGAGGAAGGAAGGGCTTTGACTGCTGGCACAGACCTGGACAAATATACACATCCACACACACTCATAAGTGGAAGCGCAAGCGGCGTGTGAAAGGAAAGCAACTCTCATTTCCAAGAAAAGAGTCTCCGCTCAGAGGATGCGAAGGAAAGATATGAAGGGGGTCGAGGGCCAAAAAAAAGAGACTGACACTTTTCCGTTCAGGATTTCACACTCATGACAATGCTTGACAAATGCACATATCATCTCGTAGAGCACTCTTTAAACACCAATAGTGCACACTTGAAAAGGACAGGCTTTACAAACAATCCCTCTGGCTGACCCCGTGAAGTCCAAAGAGTGTGCGTGGGGTGTACAAGAGATTAAAGAGGAAACGCTCTGTACGACTGCAACCTGATAAGCTTTGTGAGAGTCATTAGATCTGCACTAAAAACCTATCGAGCTGCTCCACTGTCTACATTGGCTGTTACCTTCTAAGGTAGCATCCAAGTTGAAATGTAACCTCACTAGTGACTGATTTGAAACAATCCTTACGTGAAAAATAGTGCTTCTCAATTAGCACAAGGCCTGAAACATACTCTACACAACAATATGAAAACAAACAGTTCTGGATACGCAAGATAGATTTTTGGATCATACTAGCTCAATTTAACCCATGGTTGCATTTCACAACAAGGTCATATCCATGACATTTGTGGGGTGGGGGGACAAAAAAATGTTTACTAGATTTTTTGGGGGGGTTGGTGAGTGGAGAGATGCAGTCCCAAAAATTGTCCTATTATTTAAAGAAATTAAAATAAATTATGAAATTATTTATTTAAAGGAAATAAATAAAAAGAAAAATAGTAGTAAAAGAACTAGAATCTATTGTTAAGTAATGCATTTTAAATATATGCAAATTATATATATATTTTTTTTTTTTAAATACGCACATTCACTGTTCATCGAATGCTTAATATGCCTAAACCGGCCAGTTTCTTTTCAGACTTTCATATCTGAGAACCCCAAAAATGTGAAAAGCATCCATTTGCACTCTGCTTCGGTAAAGCTGAGTACGTAAAGCCCGCCTTCTTTGATTTGATTGGCCATCTCAAACATTTTGACACTGATGAGCGCCTGTAGACCGCTGAGGCAGGGGCCGTATATTTCTGTCTTAAGCATCTGCTTAACTAACGTAGAGCCTGATGTTAGCATGCTGCTAAGCTAATGACTTGATAGGCTACTTTAAGAGAAAAACTACATACCGTAGCACACAAATCTTAAGTGAAATAATGCATTTTTTTAATGTCAGTACTGTAGAAAAAGTGCTAACAGATTTCTTTCATCTTCATGACTTGTAAATATAAAGACATCATATAATAGCGCCATAACTTTGCTACCAATTGTAAGAGCACAGTTTTAGCTCATGGGCCTCTGATGCCTAAAATACTACCTACAAATGCAGCTCACTAGATTTTGAAACAAACAATGTACAATTGGCATCCATAATGCAAGGTAGGGCGAGACTAGTTTTTAGTTGCAGAGACAGACAAATGGCATAGAAATGTCAATATCCGATCATTTTAGTTTCTCTTAACCTCAATATGCACCTCCAGGTTTCTCGAATGAACATACGTGAGAAAATACGAGAATGTCAGACATACTGAAACAGAGAAGTCTCATACCTGCAATAAATCACTCATGTAGCATCTCATGTGTGTCTGATGGATAATAGCTATAGGGCTCAGAGGGCAGTGTCAGTTTTCAAGTCTTACATGTGACTCCGATGGCTGTGGCAGAGATCCAGGGCTCAGCACAGGAGATCCCGAGGGGCTGCAGAGCTCAGGGAAAGGGTTCGGAATAGCTGGCAAGGACGCCGGACGAACTTGCAACTCTTCTTCTTGAAGTCGCCTACAAGGGGTGACATAGAGAGACAAGCAAAAAAAAAAAAGACTGTACTTGTACTGAATGCACATTTAAAATGATTTAAAATGCATACCGTTCCTAACACTAAAACATCTAGCTTCTTGATTACTAGTAAACATCTCGTTTCATTAAGATCTCATAGGTTCATTAACCATGCAGTATTCCCGATATCATCCATGTTTTAATCAATATGAAACTGAGCAGGGAATTAAAGTACCCTGAAAACTTCAGTGCTGTAAAGCGATAGGCTAATGAAAAATAAATCAGAAGAATCCGCATTAAATTCTCACTGCTGCATTATGGATTCCACTACAGAATATATGAATGAAACCGAGAGATTTGAAACCCACTTAGCCAACTGAGAACCGGTTCATGAACTCTCGTAGTGTTTGGCAGAGTTCAGCAGACAGACACATAGACTGCAGATGCTAAACTCGTCTTCGGGTCTTTGATCTACATCAATAAGACCAGGAATAATACATGACTGCCACAGCGCAGTTGGAGCGACCATAATAACTGAGGGAATTTTTTTAATCCGAACCGTAGCAGGGGGTGTGCCGTTCAGGGTTCATGGCCGAGTCAGAACGAAAGAAGACTGTGTGTCTGTGTGAGTGTGTAGAGACGGGAACCTCTGAGTGAACCCATCTCGGTGTGTGTATGCATGTGAAACTACACCCTGCTGTCATGGAGATCAGAGAAGAGCGGATGAAAGACGAACGAACGATACAGAAGCCCTGCAGAAAGGTGATGTGTAAAAGAGCTGATTAGAACATGCAGTCTGAGAGGATTCTGGGGAGAGAAAAGATTATGACTATGAACAGAAAGATGACTTTAAAATGTAGCACACGTACATAACATATAAATCAATAGAGCCTTAGGAGAGAGTATGAATTCTGTTTCTTAAATACAAAAAACCCCCACTGATTAATATTTAAAACAAAAAATATATAAATGAATAAAAATCATATATATTACTTAATGTTATTTGTAATAATTTACTGTATTTTAAATCATTTAAATTACTTTTTTATAAAAAAAATACAACATTTTAATAAAAAAACTTATTGCCATAACATAGCACGTTTAACATTAGAACTTTTGTATTATTAAACTGCACTAAATGAAATTCACATCATAATCAGTGACTGGATGGTGGATTTTCATATCCCTTTTGATAATTACAGCATGTAATTCCGACACCTTTTGACCAATTTATTTTCAATTAATATAATTTCACATAAATTGATGAAATTATGAAATATTACAGAATATCTCAGGACACTACACTACAGTGTTTAAAAGTTTGAGTTCAGCAATATTTTTTTTATAAATTAATGCTTTTCTTCAGGTTCAACTGCATTACATTGATTAAAAGTAACAGTAAAGACTTTTACATGCACAAATAAAATCTATTTCAATTAAATGCTGTTCTTTTGAACTTTCTATAACAAAGAACCTTGAAATATTAGGCAGCACAACTGTTTTCAACATTGATAATAAGAAATATTTCTTGAACAGCAAATCAGCATATTAGAGTGATTTCTGAAGTAACATGTGACATTGAAGACTGGAGTAACAGCTGCTGAAAATTGAGCTCATTTTAAAATATATTAAAAACAAAACATTTATTTTAAATTGCAATATTACTTCACAATATTACAGTTTTACTGTATTTTTGATACTGTATTTTTTCTTACAATAGTGTAAAACAAAAAGTAATTCACTTTTAAAATTTGCATGATTTTCCAGGCCTGGAAATCACTGATGTTCTCAGGTTTCCGTTACCAGTTAAAACACACACACACTTACACTTTTCTATGTGTGCATATACATTACCTGACGGCCTGTATGTGCATTGGCTGTGATCGCCGGAGCTTTTGGGTAGGAGAGTGGGGGGCAGTCACTCTATTACTAGGGGCCCGTGGCAGTGGGGCCACTCTGTTGCCATGGAGCCCACTGCCATCAGTGCGGTGCAAGAGTGGGGCGAAGTCTGAATGCTGTGTCCCACAGGTTGCATAGATGCTCTCATAGGACGAAAGAGAGGCCATGTCATTCACCAGGGCCTCCAGATCTACATCATCCTCTGCAGCAAAACAAAACATGCATGGAAAGAGAAAGAGATTGAGTCCTAGATCACTCACAGGCTACAAAAGTGTATCAGCAGTAGCCACAATACTGACAGAAATACACTCAATCGACAACAATAGGATACTATAATTCATCATTGAGTATTATGCATATTAATTGAAAGACTATGTGCAATATTTGTACTTTTGAACATTTGTCAAGCTGATGAAGAATTTCAATAAACAAAGTTCAATTATGAAAAATGTAAAAGAAACCATTTAAAAGTTTGTTTTTTTTTCCCCCTTTTTTTTGAAAATAATATTAATCATTTTATTCAGCAAGGACACATTAAATTGATCAAAAGCAACAGTAAATACATTGAACTGAATAAAAAAAAGCATCATTTATATTAATTCTATTCATTTTATTAATTCATTCATATTAATTCTAAAATAAAAGTCACACTGCACCATGGCTCCACCACATCAATATTTCATAAGGGTTTTTATTTATTTACTTTGATTTCACAATTTCACTTAACCATTAAACCAATCATGGCAAGTTCTGAAGAAGCAAGGCATTCTCATACTGGCACCACCACGTTTGAGTGTTGGTAAGATGCTTTTAGATTGTGGAATGCTGTTTTAGCTTCATGCCAGACATAATGGGATGCATGTCATCCAAAACGTTCCATTTTTGACTCACAGAACATTCTTCCTAAAGTCTTGGGGATCAGCCAGGTGCTCTTTGGCAGATGAGAGATGAGCGTTTATGTTCTTGGTTAGCAGTGGTTTCCACATTGCTCCTCTCCCAGCCCACATTTCTTTGAAAGAGTTTTTTAGGATCCACTGTGGCTTCCTGGATGATTTTAAGCTGAGCCTTTGGACACACTTTGACAGATCGGCCACAGAACATTTACCACTGTGTCCACTTGTTCTCTATATGCATTATGGTTCAGTGGTGCCCCAGAATCTCAGAAACTGATAACAAAATCTTTAGTTTCTAGTTTTCCCTTATGTTTAAACTAATTTCCTTTGAGTATGGTTTGCTTAATCGATTACATTTGCATCTTGAGATGGTGTGATAAAGGATCTGAGACAGTAATCAAGATTTAATGGTCTCATTTCAACAGTATTAGCACAAACCATAAAAAACATTGCACTGAATGTACAATGCCACTAACAATAAATAGCCACAAGATGGCAGTATCAAATTTAATGAATAAACACCAAAGTGGTCAGCGCTTTGGTCACATTCCCCAGTCTTCCCTAATCTGATCAAACCCCTCAAATATGATTCGGAGCAACTCATCTTGAGTCAATGACCACACAACGTTACTCACTGACATCTCCAAAACCAAATATTTCAGCAATCTTCCTCACACAGAAAACACATCATCACAATACATTCTGTTCTGTGGGAGGAACAGCAGGTGGTTTGTGGAATTGCTCTGTAATAACGGTACATGCCTGTTAAGTGAAGCAAGGAGGACAGGTTCAATAGCTGGCATGTGTATTTTCACTAACTAGGGATGACTGGATTCCTTTAACCTAGTGATTCCCAACTGGTTTTGCTTCAGGACCTCGAGTGGTAACCTTCACAGTACCAAAACTGCTTTTTATCATTAGCATTTAGCGTTGTTTTCCCCCTGCTGTCCACAACCTTATCAAAACAGCCCTGAGACCCATTAGTTGAGAAGCACTTTGTGCAATCAAGACCCATAAAAAATAAGCTTTTAAGGCCCTAGAGTGATTTCCTCAAACAACTGGTACATTTAAAAGGTTAGCAAATCATGCTAAATGTAATGCTAATGCAGTGTGGGCCACCAAAGTGCTTTTACTTCATCAGTACAAACAGTTACCATTGTTGAAACGTGCTGTCCCGTATCGATCCGGGCATGTAAAGGAAAGAGAAGGCGGTAAGATGGCCATACTTTCAGACAAATACACAGAAAAGTTCATAGACTAGCTAAAACACCATTTAGCTAAGCTAGCTCACAGAGTAACAGGAGCACTACTCTAGTTCATATACTGGCTTAATGCTGTTCACATCAAGAAAGATAACTACATAACTATAAGTTTTTAATAATCAATCTAATTCTAAGATAACAGAGAAGTCCAAACTACAACTTTAACGAAAATGACACAGGAACCGCGTTGGAATCATGATGATAAAAACATTGACAGCCAACAAGAATTCATGCGAATTCAGTGCTTGAGCATTGAATGCATCTACAAATAAACAGAACGTTATCATGTGTTGGTGTGGATGCTAATATAGTTATTGTTATCCTCCTGAGAATCAGAAAAAAAATGTTTTGTGAATTTTGTTGATTTTTATGTCATTACATTGGTTGGAGCATAAGAAACAAATATAGAAAAACTTTTTGAAAAAATATATTTTATTCATATTTTATTCTATGCCTTTTGCGGAGGACACCAGGACTAAGTTATATTAAATTTTTTTTTTAAAAAGACATGAAAAGGCATGTAGGCTATAAGCAAAAACAATGTTTTATTTTTTCATTAACCAATCAGTTTTTAGGTTTCAGGCTATTTTTAGCCAAACTTTGTACAAAGATGATTCTCAACTATGTTATGAAAGATATAACAATGATATAATACTGTACTTTATGGAATGTGCATAAAATGTCCATAAATTGATATTCCTATTCTATACTATGCATCTATAAATTGCATCTAATTTGCATATTAATGTGTTCTTGGGGCAAACCATAATGAAAAAAGTAGTGTTATAATGGGAGTAATAACTTAGCAAAATTTTCATAAGAATATCTCATATTTCACAGGAATATTGATTTATAATTTCTTTCCCTATTGACTTGTTGCTAAAAATAACATTATTTTGTGTATTTGTTGTAATGAAATGCGTTTATGCGGTTTAAGGTTCAAAAAACACATTATTTTCCACATACTGTACATTATTGTTTCTCCTCTATGCCCTGCCTTTCTGAAACGCGTCGATTTTTACAAAGCTCATCGGTCTGAAAAGCGAGGTGTGCTGTGATTGGCCAGCTATCCAGTGCGTTGTGATTGGCCGAATACCTCAAGCATGTGACGGAAATGTTACGCGCCTTACCATACTGTGATGCCGTGTCCTGGTGTAACACTCCAAAGAGAAAGGAAAAATTGAAATCGCATCATATGACCCCTTTAATATAATGTTTGTCCTGGTGTCCTCTACAGAACACATGTATGAAAATTATGCCCCGTTTCGTAACAAAAAGTCTGATTCGAAACCCCATAAAATTTTTCTGAGATGTTTATTTATGACAAACAATTTGAAAATTAACCAGATTGAAATAATAATTACAAAACATTATCATATTTCCCTAAGAGTGCTAAATTTGATCATTCTGTCAATATCAATCATATTTAATGGCCAAGGAGAGGGAGTGTTTATGATCAAACCTCCAAACATTTGATATCTCTAAAAAGCCCTGAATGTGCTCTGTACAGGACATCCAGACTTAAAACTGCATGTAAGATCTCCGAGAAATACAGAGGACAAAAGTCTATGCCTGGGTCCCAGGAGGATTTATAGTTATCATTCTTGGTGTGAAAGGCAGAACTTTTATTAACTGCAAACAAATATTAGCTTAGCTAGCTAATATACAGATTAGTCACAATGAAACCGAAGTGGTGACAGATCTTTTATTCTGTATTTTGACGTATATCATGTGTTTAACGATTATTGAAAAAGAACAAATGTAAGGCGGGAACTTGGCTTTATTCTTTGGCTGTTGATTGGCTTTTGAGATGTGGCCGCTGCACTCAAAAGTGGAGGCAGGTAAATGCGTTTCATGCCAACTTTAACTTAGCTAGCTAGTTATTGTTAACTTAGCTAGCTTCCTAACAACACCCGAGTTACCTTAGCAACTGACAAGTGACCAATCAGAGAGGCTGATTCGAAAACAGGTCTAAAATCAAAGCTCTGCTTCTGACTTCCTCTAGAATATCAGCAGCGTCCGAAGGGTGCATTCCATACATACCCCAGACCCACACACTTCCACGTGTGTCCGAGTGTAAGTGTTTGTGTATGTAAGAAGAGAGCTCGGCAAGTGCTCTGCGCATAAAAGAAGTCTCCTCAAATGCAAACATGCACATACAACTAGGATGAATAGGATGGTAAAACAATGAGGTACTACAAGTACAAGAACTTCAAGAGGTACAACGAGTCCAAGTGAGTGTCAAAGAGCATCTTCCCTTTTGCCGCTCTCAGCGCTAAATGTTCCAAATATGTTTTGAGAGCGGTTAAAAGTTTTCCCCATCTTTCCAAACACTCCCTTCCTCTTTTCTCCATTTCACATTCCTTAACTTACATAAAGTCACACTACTAACAAACACAAACATTACCATAATTTAAAAACAATGGTATTACCATGCCATAAAAAACATGCTATTACCATGGTAACATAAAAAAACCAATATAATTAACATGGTATGACTAAAAATCATGACAATACCATATCATGTGTTGATGCCATAGGTTCTATTTGTACTTCATCATGGTAATAACATGTTTTTGTGTATATGATACCAATGCAAACCCATTCAAAAACCATGGCATTACTTTGCTACATGTAAAAGAACACACTATTACCACGGTAATAAATAAAACCTATAGAATTTGAATAGTATTCTAAAAATTACAATGATGATGCTATGGGGTATTTTTTGTGTGTTAGCATGGCAATACCATGTTTTTGACATGCACATTGTGTTTTTTGGACATGTTGCCATGGTTATGCTAGGTGTTTTAGAACAAGTATCATGGTAATCCAGCTGTTTTTGTATGTGGTACCATGGTAAAACTATGTTTTTATTAATGGTGTTTCTTCAAAAACATTAAGACATTATCATGCTACACGTAAAAGAACATAATATTACCATGGTAATATAAAAATCCATAGTACTGCCATTGTATGAAACTGCCATTACTTTAGTTCATGTCGATGCTATATGTTCGTGTATGTTACCATGGTAATACCACTTA